GGCACTGCAGTGAGTGTTCAGGGTGTTCGCCTGTCACCCTGTGAGCCTAATATTGAAATATCAACACCAAGACCAGAAAAGAGCTCTGAGAAGCTCCGCCCTCACGCTCTCCGTCAGTTACAGGTCAGGCACTGATGATGATACCAAAACTGCTCAGCACGTGCATATCAGAAAGTGTGTGCTCAGTTATCCTTCAGGTTAGTGAGTGCTGAGGTTCCTGCTGATGTCACAGGCGTCAGTGACTCGCCGCCGTCCTGCGCTGCCTCAGTCAACTGACAGTTGAACTGCTGCGTGAAGGCGTGCAGCAGGTGAGGGACGACCTCCTCCACGCTAGCGTGTCTCCGCAGCTCGGCGCTCAGCGACGTCACGCCTTTCCCTTCGATCCCACACGGAACGATGTGGTCGAACCACGACAGGTCGGTGCAGCAGTTCAGCGCCAGACCGTGAGACGTGATGTAGCGGCCACAGTGTATTCCTGAAAACACGACAGCCGTCATTCAGGCAATTCTTACACAGGACGTGCTGGAGAGCAAGCAGCTGCGTTGGAGTCCTGCTGAACGTGGTAGCGATTAAATGAAACACGCACACACTGACATAAACATGTTACCAACCTCACACCTGACCAACAGATATGAAGAGCATGTTTCACCTCTTTACCTCCGTGGGCCAGCGCACTGTTATACCACACCTGAGTCCAGCCAGCAGAACTGTTCCGTCTATGCGAGCGGCCTTTAGGTCACATGACCTCACCCTCACGCTCGCTGACAGCCTTTAACAGGTGAACAGCACCTGCAGAGATGGGTGGTCGGCCACCTGCTGCGACCCCTAACGGCCAGCAGATGGCGCTTTGTAAATAAAATTGAATTGAACTGAAAATTTTTAAACTGAGGATTTTTCACGGTGGTGGTTTCATTCTTGTCTCGATCTTTTTCCCGTCACGTGTAAGGTCCGCTCTCCTAATGACACAATAACTTAACCATAAACCACACTTGTGGCTAAGAGAAAGGACTCAGTGTGTCTGGACATTTGTGTGCCAATGAAAAGAAGGCAGTGTGACTTTGTCCATCGTCACTTAAAGACGAGGAAGTAAGAAAACAGGACAGAATCAGTGCTTTTGAATAGTGGTGCCAGAAATGGATTTCATCAGACTGAAGGACCTGCGACTCGCTTATTTCAGACACGTCACGTCTCTTCTGTTCTTCACATCAGCGTGCGAAGAACAGAAGGAAGACCGGCAGCGTTGGTTTGACACCATTATGACAACAACAGGAAGAGGCCAAGGATCAATCTTCCTACAGAATGTTTATCCACCCTTCTGTAACTGGGGCTTAAAATGAGTTTTAACTGGACTTTATGGTTTCAGCTCTATGACAGTCCTGGTTCTGGCCCAGCTGAGATCAAACTGGACCCTGATCCAAAGCGTCAGTGCTGTGTGACTGTAGGTCTATACCTCGCAGTATAAATAAAGCATCCTGAGGTGACTGCTGCTGATGCCAATAAACCTGGTGAACTCCACCTGTAGCCTGGATTAATCAGCTGCTCGTGTCTGATTATTGGTAATTATTGGTTTTAAAAAGCAGCCACACAGTCAGTGAACACATGGTTGGTGATTCAGGCTCAGAGCGACGCAGTCGTACCGATGGCGCAGATCTTATTGTCTCCGACCCAAACTCCCGTGTGAGGGGACGTCGTAGCTCGGATGGCGAACCTGCTGCAGAGTGCGATGACGGTCTGCTCCAGCTGATCGACGTACCACCGCACGCTCTGAGAGAACAGAAAACATTCAAATAAGTTCGGCTCTGATAAAAACACACCAATCTCACTCCCACGTCAGCTCAGACCTTCTTGAAGCTGCACAGGTTCAAGACTGGGTAGCAGACCAGTTGTCCCGGCCCGTGGAAGGTGATGAGTCCTCCCCGGTTCGCCCGGGCCACATCGGCCCCCAGCAGGCGCAGTTGGTCCAGCAGGGGCTCGGGGTAGGGTTTGTGGCGGATCCCGGTGGTGTAGACCGGCGGGTGCTCACACAGCAGCAGAGCGTGAGCAGGGCCGGACCGGTGCCGGTTCACGTAGACCTGCTGCAGTCGCAGAGCCTCCTGATAGGAGACCAGGCCCAGGCGGACCACCTCCACCAGCGGCTGGCCGCCCCGCATCTGGGACCGACACCAGACCAATCCAGACTGTTAGTTGCACAAATGTTTAGTTTTGTTACTTGTAACCTGTTTAAAATGTATCCAGCCTTAAAGGCTGCATGACTAGGGGCGTGGCCACTTTGATTGACAGGTGGATGGTGACACAGGTGTCTGCTGTGACTTATACAGTGGATGGGTTCCGTCAGGAGCAAAGATCCTCCATCTGGTTATCTGAAACCAGCAGCACATTAGCTTTAGTGTCACAGCACATGTACATGCATGCTCATGTTCCCAGGACCTGAGCCGAGAGTTCACAAGCTGCCCTAGAATATCGCAGTTTTTAGATTTCCTTAGTTCAGCAGAGATCCTGGGACATTTCTCCGAACATAATCCAAACGACACAAACCTGAGCTACTCACAGACAAATCGGCTGCTTCAATTCACACATTATAAACTCACAAAGCAGAAAACTAAAAATAAAATCGAGGTGGAGCTTCTGCTCGCGGGCACTGAGCGCTCTGACCTCAGTGACACGGTCAAAGCAAACCGCAGTACATCTCTGAATGGGAAGCAAATCCCTCCGCCGTGTCTCTACGTGATTATTTCGTTAGTTTATTAATTTATCAAAATACTTTATCATTACCATCACCTGTCTAACTTCTGTACGCTCCTCTACCACGACCCGCTCTTCTTCTACAGCTGTGAGACTGATGACGTCTTCCGGTTGTACAGCGCCGTCTTGCCATTAACCGGAACCTAAAGTCTTTCATAATAAAACTGAATTATTATCGACTTATTTTTTAATCTCGCAGTTTTGTCAAATTAATAAATATCATTTCTTGAGTTGAAGAATTAGATTCATATTAAGGCAACAAAATCTAAATTGCCAAAGATCTGCTCTCTTTCATGAGAAAATAAATTCACAACAGGTAAATTACAATATGTTGGCCGTCTTATTTTTAATTTTATTACTTCTCATCCCTCCGTCTTTATTTTGCCAATGTTTACTTTCTAAGTAGCGATTTCTTTGTCTTGCAATTTATGTTTATTGAAAATAATGCTGTTAAACCACACACTAAAAATCACAAACTCAGCCCCAACAGAAAGAGACATATTTAGCAGCTTTGATTTTCAAAGCAGATTTTGCTACATATTTTACATGTTTGTTTTTTTTACAGACTACCATCAAGTTATTTTTTATTTTCTAAATTTGGAAATGCACAATAAAATGCAACGACTTAGTTTTATTTTGAAGTCGACACCTGACGTCAGAGGAGGCTCGCGCCGCTGTGATTCAGCGGCTCCGGTTGGCGGGCTGCACGCGCGTCCACTCCTCTGCGCTCGCGCTGTTTCGGCGGCGGCAGGGCGGGGTTTGTTTTGAGAGCGGACCGGAGAGAGAAGACTCACCAGGGAAGATGGCGACCGCAGGGTCTGCCGAACGGCCTGGGAGACCGGCCAGCGCCACGGCCGCCGGCACGTCCCGGGCCGGGCTCGTAGCTCGGTGCCGGTCCGGGTCCAGCCCACCCGAGTACGAATCCAAGAAGTGCATGGCGTGCGCGGAGACCGGAGGCAACCCGGCCGGCAGACACCTGGCCTGTCCGCTCTGCCTAGCCCGCAGACACTCCGGCAGCGAGGAGCGGCTCCGCGGGAGGAGCGACCACGAGAGTAGCAGCAGTAGGCCGGGCGGGAGGGACTGCGACAGCCGGAGAGGTCGGTGAGCTTCTCGGGGAATCGCCCGTGCAGATATCGCTGTATCACACCGCTGCAGGGTGTTTGTTTAACGGCAGAAAACAGCGGGAATTTAAATGAAATCAACTTTAATAAAGTTTAACGTGAGCAGCGCGCGGTTTTAAGAATGTTAAAGGTTAGTTTTATGTGAAAAACATTTATGAAGTGTGGTAGCTGCAGGCGTAAAAATCCCCGCTTTTCTTTATGGAGTTTTGTATGGAGCTACAGGCTCAATCACAGGTCAACGTGTGGACACAAATCAATGAGAAAACCATGGAAACAGCCCTCAGAGGACACGTGACTGCTCACAGTGACCTCACCTGATCACAGGTATAGGCAGCAGGGTCACATGTCATGTGGCACTGCTCAGGTCTGCAGATGGGGAATGTGTCCAGACATGTACAGCTGGAGGAGGAGTTGAGTTACTGCAGTACTAGTAGTACTGGAGGTATTACTGCGTGGACTCTGTTAGCAGTGACTGGCTGGAAAAGCCCAAGGGGGTTATTACTAGTACTTAGAGCAGGACACAGCAGGAGAACCATAAATACTGTAAGTACTCTTTGACTTGCACTGACCACTGTGAACAGCAGTTCTTACATAAGAAAGCTCGGGTGAGACTCAGTGGCTTCATGTGTGTTGGATGAAGTCAGAAGGTGCTGATGGTGATCATGTTTTATGTTTTATTCATTGACCCAATACTGACACCTTTAGCATTTTTCCTTGTATCTGAGCAGCTTTGTGTGATTCACAGTTCACAATAATCCCTGTTTGTCTGATGCTGGGCTTCTGTCGTGTCTCTCTGACATCACAGATAGCCAAGAGTAGAGCAAACTGTGCCCGAGCTGTGAGCTCACAGGTTTACTGCACGTGCACCGAGCTCGTTATTACAAAGTTTTAAGACAGGAAGTGAACAGTAGAATTTTAGTAGTCAAAGTCACCTGTTTAAATTGTATTAAGCCTTTAAATTATTAGGGGCGTGGCTTCTTTGACTGTTTTCTCTTTGGCTGTGTTCCTTTAGAGTTCTTCGTCTCTCCGGTGCTCATCCCGAAGTCTGCCGACGCTCCTTCAGGCCCGAGTGGGAAACACAAGGTGAGTCAGAGAGCTGCAGGTAAACCTGTGATCACCTGTGAGTGGTTAAGCTCGTCACAGCCGACCGAGCCTGCTGAGTGTTTTATTGCTGAGGAAGAAAAGCAGAACTCTGCAGGCTGCCGATATCAAACTTGAGAACTTTGGCTTTAATTTGAGTTTACATTAAGTTTACATTAAGTTTTCTCTCTAAGCAGTCACCTCTCTCAAAGTTTCCACTGTGAGTCTCGATATACCCTCGCAGATGCTGCGTCGTCTCGCGGAGACAGGAGAATCTTTGTGTTTTAGCCTCGAAATAAACTTTAACCCCTCCGTGTTTCAGCTGCTGCTGTGTGACGACAGAGAGGAGGTGAAGAGGAGGAGCTCTCTGAACTGTAAAGACGAGTCAGTCCGTCGTGATGAAGATCCGGTGAGTGATGACAGGCTGAATGTTTTCATCCTGCAGCAGCTGTCTTAACTAGCTGTTGTCCCTCCTCAGGGCGTCCTGTCTGACTCCGAGAACGAGGAGCCGATCAGCAGGAGGATCCGAAACATCTCAGCCTTCATCAGGAAAACCAAAAACTCATCCGCTGGGTGAGCACAACCACCCTGTCCTATTCCTTTTGCAGACAGTGAACGTACCACAGACTACAGGGGTGTGACCTCTGACCTCTGTGTTAATTCTTTAGGAGTTGTCAGAGGAGCAGGAGCTGCACTGATCCTGTGGAGGATGGAGGAGGAAAGATGAAACTTGTCACCCAGCCGGCAGCCGTGATGGACCGGGTACGTGAGACAGTCATGTCATGTCTGTGGGAACTTCAGAAGAAATAGTGTTTTATCAGGCTGTGTTAGAGAGTGTAATCAGATTACTGTATGCTTCAGGAGCCATCCAGGTTCAGTCTGCGGGGAGAAGGATCGTTAAGCCCCTCTGCCATTAGAACCTGCTCGGCACGATTAGCCCCAGTTTTCAGGGTTACCTTTAGGTCATAGTACCTGGTCGGGTTCCAAGCGGTCCGAGCAGGTAATAAAATGTGACTTCATCAGACTACGTGATTGGCTGGTCAGTAGCGTCACTGGATGAGTCGTGAGAGCTTCTCGTTCAGTAAAATCAAAACCGCCATTTTTGAAACGCTACATCAAAGGAGATGGCTACAAAAGCAACGCTGCGTTCCCCGAGTGTGACGAAAAGCCACAGAGTGAGCTGCAGGCATATCTTTGCTTCGACGTGCACATTTGTCTTAGTGTTCGTGTCACATGTCAATAGACTCTGTGCACCGTGTGCTACTTCCGGTGGGGAAACTCCTGTAGGGCGCCTCGTTTCCGGTGTGATATTCACGTCTTGTTTACGGTCGGGTTTTCCAAAACAAGTCAACCAAATGGACGAATCAAGCGGCGATTTACATTTCTCAAGATGTCGTGGGAATTTACTGAATATATCTGTAGATGATGTTCGTCGACGTGTCGATATTTCCCCCCACGCCTCAAAGCAAAAGAGAGAAAGGATTCAAATGTTTTATTTTGAGTGTTTGTATACAGCGGCCCCTCGTTTATCGCCGGTGTTCTAAAAATAACCAGCAACAGGTGAAATCCGTGAAGTGCCCAGCTTTATTTTTTACAATTATTTGAGATGGTTTAAGCCCCTCACTACACTTTATTCACTTTTCTCAGACAGGCAGGAACATTTTCACACTTTTCTCTCTTGCTTAAACTCTCAAAGTTCAAACCTTCGTAGAAAAATAATTCCAGTATTATAGGATGAAACCAAAGATCAAACCGTGTTTTCGGGTCCAGAACATGAGAATAGAGCAGCTGAGAGAGAATCCAACATCAATCAATCATTAATGAATCAATGAATCGGCGATCGATGTAGCGATTCTGTACTGTACAGGAGAGACGGCACGGAGGAGATCAACAATGGTCTGCAGCCGAACGCAATGTGCTGTAAAAAAAAAAGCATGCAAAATTGCACACAAAAAATCTGCGAAAGGTGAACCGCGTTATAGCGAGTTAGGGAGTTATAGCGAGGGACCGCTGTAATTTTGAAGGCAAGTCACAACATACCCTTCGTGAATACTAACGTATAGAAACCCTTACCAGCAATCATTCATTTATTTTTTTCGTGGCTTTTTTTCATAGTTTGTTGACATGCTGTGTAGGTGTGTACTGGTATGGACATAACGGGGAAACATCTGGCTTTGACTGTTGTTCACCTGCAGTTTGAGTGCTGAACATTTGCCTGTTTGAATCATAAGAACTGTCTGTATACAGAGATGTGCTTCTGCTGCAGTGATGCAGTTCTGCTTGTGTTGAGTGACGTAAACAATCGATCTGCACGCTTCAAACGTCAAAACTGATCATCTGATTTTTTTTTTTTTATGACACAGCAGTGGTGAGTGTTCCCACCTCTGCTCTTTGTAACTTAACGCCATCTTTCCGTTTTCGTGTTTTGGACATGATTTTTGAGTCCACATTCGCAGTAGCGATTGACCGCAAAATAAAGCTACCAGAAACATACAACCCCACTAGGGCTGCCACGATTAGTCAACTAGTCACGATTACGTCGACCATCAAAATCGTCGACGACTGATTTAATAGTCGACGCGTCGTTTGAAGCTTTGTAAGATCCCAAAAGACGCAGGAATGAGTAGCAGGATTTAAGAGTGTAATAACGGACTGAAACAGAAGATGGCAGCACTGCATGTACAAGGATGCCAGCTGCCGTTAAAACCAGTCGATTCAAACAGGTATTAATGGAGAAGGCTCTATAGCAGGGGTGTCAAACTCCAGGCCTCGAGGGCCGGTGTCCTGCAGGTTTTAGATGTGTCCTTGGTTCATCACAGCTGACTCAAATGGTTAAAGGACCTCCTCAACATGTCTTGAAGTTCTCCAGAGGCCTGGTAATGAACTAATCATGTGATTCAGGTG